AACAAAACTAGCTTTTCCTTCCTCTTTTATTTGATGTCACCATGAACAAAACTGAAGAAAACTGCAGTCTGCACAAATAGCACAGCACTAAATAAACTTTGGTAGTATTTATATCTTGTAGCTCATAAGCAGAGTGGTAAAACTATTGCTAATACTAATCTATTACTACAGGAAAAAAAGGTTTAGAAAACTTCATCCTCTGCCAACAGGCATATAGGTTATTTGAGCATGGTTCTGGAGACTGTTAATGTGTAACTCATTAAGGTGGTTGCCATCTGGATAGCCTAAGTATGGAAGAGAAGCAAGGTTTGAGGACATCTGTCCTTTCACTTATATTGTATGCTCTAATAAAGGACCTGATCTCCTTCTTTAGATGGCATTTAATTTGGGGGTAAAATAATAGAATTTCTTATTTTTAATCCCCAGTGATAACACACACAAAATGTTCGCTGATATAAACAATGTACATGTAGGTCAGCTAGGGTTTGGGGAATAGCAGTTCAGTCAAGCGAAGCATTGGAACATATGCCTAATTCTAAGTGTAATTGACTAAAGTGGTTAAAATTGAGCACCTGCTTAAGTGCTTTCATGGCCTGATGCCTAATGAAAAATTAATCACAAATGGCAGAGGGCCATTATACCAAGGAGGCCTTATTTATACTGAATTAAATTATATAATAATTAAGGTATATTTAGTCAGCCTCAGTAGTGAGTCTGCCTGTGTTCTTGTCTGAATCAGCACATTTTCAGGGTGCTAAGCCCACAGTGAAATGTTTCCGTTTGTAATTAACCTTGCAAGTGGTTTTATTTTGTTAATAAACTCGCGAAGTACCTGTGCTGATCGCTGCGATGGCCACACAGCAGCAGCAGACCTGTGAGACTAATCCCCCTGCTTCGCTCACACTGCCACAGTGAAAATGGGTTGCAGGATCAGCAATGTATTAACAAATGAAAAATAGGAATATCCTAAACAGCTAAAAAATGATACAGTAATTATGATCATGGGACTGGAAGCAGACACGTACACTAGGTGGCTTCTTTACCTTGTTTCATCTTTTCTGTTGCTTGACAAAATATGGGAAGTACAGCAATGGTTTTCAAGTCTAATTCATACTGGTTCTCTACGAGCATGGAATTGACAACTGACATATCAGACTATTTTCAAGTTTGGTCTCCCTGTTGCTCAGCTGAAAATGTGGATTTGCGTTTTAGATAAAATCTTTTTTTTAATGTGCATTATGGCAATTATTGCTCCACTAGATTCAGATTCAAATGGAGCTGATTAAACTGGATTCTTAGTGATCAGATCACAAGTAAGGGAGCATAATGTTTTCCATTAATAAATACAAAATAATTTTAATTAGGTCTGAGCATCTTGAAAATAAAATGTTGCACCGCAATTAGATCAAAACAAATTAACGTTCGTCAAATGCCGTTTGGCATTTCCAGCAAAATGGGGACAGTTTTGCTCCATATGAATTTAGATGCATGTAAACACTGTCTGCCAAAGTAAAGACTGATGAGAACTTGTGCGTGTTGTGTATTTTGAACAGTCAACTCATTCATCTCATTCTGGCAGAACATTTAAGTTTAAAAAGAGAATTTGGACAACAGAAAGTTATTAAAATAAGCTTTCACTGCACTGTAAAAAAAAAAAACAAAACCATTTTGCCTAAGGATAATTGTTGATGTTACCATTCTCAAACACTGATCTTCTCAGAAGAGGAAACAATTCAGGACCAGTACCTGCTTGTAATCACATTCCAACAGTAAACAACATCTTAGGACAGAGTGGCTGTATTTACATAATGAGATACAGGTGCCTCAGGCTCTCTGTACAATAAATCCACCCTGCACAAACAATGATGTGGATCTGATGAACCAGCTGTCAAGAGATGTCCAGCCAGACTCAACAACGATACTGGGGATGGACTGGGCATGGCAGGAGCAGGTGCAGAATACCAATGTGCAGGGTACTGCCTGACTGCTGAAGGGAAAATCCCCAGTTGGACTCAATGGTGATTCGTGGCAGATGAGGCAAATCCAAGAAACACCTGTTAGCTTTGAGAAGGAGAGAAATTGGCACCATAATGCTTCACCAGATGAGTCATCAGAATATAAAGGAAGGAACAGTGTTAAAGGAAAAGAATTAATTTTACTTTCAGATCTGCAAACTACATAGGAATATTTAACATCTCTTGCATCCTATCTAGGGGGACAGTGACTCATTTGGATCAAAATTGTTTCATAATTCAGCTTCAAGAAAATTACAAAAGCAGCTCTCGAATAAAGAATACATAAAAGACATGTTGAGGAAGACAATGCTCTAAAGGCATTCTCAGCTGTGCATCTTCCCTTATGCAGTGTCAGTCTGTGTATAAATATAACTTATAATAAGGTGCTACCAATGCATTTTTGGTAGCTGGAAGCAAGAAGGACATGGAGTTTAAAGACATCTCTTGCAACCATCGAAGTGACACGCCAGTGTGGGCTACAAAGCCAGCAGTTGCCCAGGTGGAGGCACGAAGGTGATGTCCCTGCATGAGAAAGCAAGAAGGCAGGTTGTAAAGTGAACACAGCCACGAGGTCTGAGATGGGAAGTGTCCTCACAGCAGCTGCTGAGTGGTACAGACTGCAGTACAGCAGGTCTAGAAGGAGTTTTCAATTACTATGTTTTCTTGTCTATAATCACCACATTCCAAGCCCAGGGAAAGCTTGTAGGTCGAAGTACTTAGTGAATCTTATTTCTAACTACCCAAGCAATGTGAACCATAAATACTAATGCTGGATAAAATAAAACAATCTTTAAAATGGGCAATAGTTTAAAGCTGTGAGTCAGATTTTCAGTTTCTGATGCGGAAGGAATTTGTTACTTGCAGTTAAAATATTTGCTTTACAAATGGCGATAGCATTCAGACTTTGTTTTACTGGGAAAGTAACATGTATTGCAGTTTAGACGTGCAGCTGTGGGGAAAAGAAGCTACTGAACTATTTTAGATCATATCCAGCATGTTTTTAGAGCTTGTAAGTATCACCCAGAATGAAATAGGTCATAAATAAATGGTCTGGGAAACATTTAAGATTGCTTCAAAATCAATTGAGCATGAATGAAAAGCCTTTTGCAACACCTTGCGGTGCTGAGGTGGAATTCCTGTTTTGATTCAAAATAATGATGGTCAGCTAGAAAGGCTGCTCATAGAAGTGGGTTCATGGAGACCATCAATGTAGAGGTCAAAACACCTTGAGCTGCTTTTGGCAGAGATCCTGAAAAGGTTAATGAACTAAGTAGAAATGGAAATCCACATCCAACCTACCATATGTCTGCTACATTTCCCATTTTCTTCTATAACATCTGTGTTTAGAAAGAACAAGTCCCCATATGCACTAGATACAGGGCTTTTGAGAACCTAGTTTGGGTAACACTATTAGCAGCAAAGGGGGAAATGAGCTTAATAATAATGTCATGTAGGTCATCAAATTGCCTTAGTTTTCAGAACGTTGGCAGAGATCCCCGATAAGAAAAGCTAACATGGATTATTTTAGGAACCCAATGAACTGTGGACAACTTATGTCTGCAGAAATTATGTTATTACGGGATTTAAAACATTAAAGCCTCGAAAAAATTTGATACGCTAAAACAGGATGGACAGAACAGCGTGCACAGGAAGTCGATACCAGGAACACTGCCACCACACAGTTCTCATTACACCACATCTCATCCGATTGTGGAAATTAATCTGGTTCCTAAAGATGGATTATATTTATTTATTATACATTTCTGCAGGAATGCTGTGATAACAATTGTATGTGATAACAACAGACAATTTGTTCCGAATTCATTTTTCCCCAGTGTTAGAACCTCTATTCTTTGGCTCAGTTGGGGTAAAATGAGTGCTCAAATATATGTGATTTTCACATCACCTCATCACGGTGTAATCTTTCAGAAGGAAATGAAATGGCCATATTTACCCAAAGGAAATGAAAAATTATTGAAGGGATACTCCCTACCTCAGGCATTTTCCTCCTCCCCTTGTCGATCCATGATTTGCTGGTGCAGTTTGCCTAAGTCTTTATACACTTCATCTCTCTGCCACTGTCCTCAGCAGGAGCTGCAGTCCCGCGTTCCCTTTATACTCCTCACTCCAACCAATGCCACTACAGGCTTTTCCGTTATCCATATAAATGTCTAATCCTTTTCCGAACCCCACTAAGCTTTTGGCTCCACTGAACTCTTCTGGGAATTAATTCCACAGGTTAATTATGCATTTGTGTAAATACTTATTTTCTTTAATGGTTTTAATTTTGCTGCCTTTTGGTTTCATTATAAGTCCCCTGGTTCTTGTATTATAAGAAATGATAAGTGAAAGCACCAGATTTACTTTCTGCATAGGCAATTCATTATTTGTATAGCTCCATCGTGTGCCCTCTTTATATCCCCTCTCCACACTAAACCATCCCAGAGTTTTAATTCTTTTCTCACATAGAAGCCATTCAAGCCATTTGCCATAATTAAAACAATTAATTTCAAGAAAAATCCAGATTGTTATACAGAGAATTAGGGAAGGATTGAGGAGTAAAGTTGAAAGAACGACTAAGCTTCCTTCATTTACTGGGATTTTTTGCAATCCTTTTACTGCATACATTTCCGTGCAGAAGCCCTCTGCTCTTTGGCTATCAAGCTAATAATATTTAATTGTTTTAATTTCCCTTTTCCAGATTATTAACATTTTTAGTTTATTAAGTAGGGTTTAAGTTGACAAGAAGTTAAATTCATGATTAACAATAGCACTTAGGTTCTTCCTAAATTTATGAGCCTTCTTTCTTTGTGAGCAGGAAGTTGAGAAGAAGGAAGTAAGCTAAAGATAATAATAAAAATATTCCTTCTCCTCATTAAGCTTTGGAATGCATATAATGCCTAGATAAATAGATGTATAGATGTATAACCCGTAAAGAAAATACAGTTACTTACATTGATATCAAGAAACTGGTGAAATTCTAGGTGAATTTTTTAGCCTGTTTATTCTTTAACAACAACAACATCTAATTAACATTTGAGCAGAAGTGACCTTTTCAAGAATTAGTGTGTATATATATCAGGCAGATGCTAAGATGGTGTGGATGGTGTGGTGCTCTCTGGAGAGATTTAACAAGAAAGAAAATGTTTACGCCTCGTGGTTTGGCAGGATGAGTCCCTCACTAGATTGCAAACCACTGAGGTAGGAAATAAACTACAGTGAGCTCTTCTCTCAAGGAAACTTTTGGGAGCAAACTGAGTTCCTGCAATTGTATTTCACACCTGAATCTCCTCCATGCTTTTGCTGCTATGTTTATGTTATAACTCAGGATTCATCACAGCCAATTCAGTAAGGGTAAAGGCATCACACAATCTGCTCCAGAAGTAGATGGTTCTTCGTTGCTGTTTATTTCTGCTGTCTACTGCAATTAAAAAAAAAAACAAAACGGAGTTACTGCAGCACTGCCCACAAACTGGGGTGTAATAAATGCTAAGCTTTAAACAGCAGTGTATGGGATGTTTTACAAATACTGGTATGCAAACGAGTTGTATATCAGTGGAATATAGCTTCCAGTTGTGCCTGAGAGTTTGGACGGTCCTTACTCTGTGAGACGGTCTTAAAAGATTTACCAGCATTTTGTCTTCTGTTGGCAGGGCGATTCGCACCCCTACAGACACACGCACAACCAAATACAAGTAGAACACAGGCAGCCACCTGCCATGCTCACAGCACACCATGAGCACATGAATGCACTCAAAAATGAGCACCTAATGGAACTGCACATCACAACACCAGCTTCAAGCATCCAAACCAGCCTTCTCAGGCTCACAGCCTTGAAACTGCTCTGGGGCTCACCTCTGTAAGGCTTGAAACTCAAAAACTGTCATTTTCCTTACTGGTTTCTCTCAATTTCACTAATGGAACCCTCTTTGCAAGTCAGTTGTCGATCCTTTTCCTGCTGTGGTTATGTTTTCCCTTCACTTTCTGCGTTCATGCAAACAGATGTATTTTTGAAGGTATAGTCATGAATCTATTTGGTTCTAGGTGTCATGGAACAGGATTTAGCAAGATTAATGAAAGTGAACAGTGGATTACCAGGAGCAGCAGAGAGGTGAGAGAATACACATCTCCACATGCAGATGGAGGCAGACAACCCAAACCAGAATGTATCCAATTTGCATCTCACACATTTCAGTAAGTAAAAAGCCTCAAAATAAAACAACAGAAAATCCTTTTGTTGATCTTCCTTGATAAATATAATTCAGTAAAATCTAAAGTTGTAGTACAAAGAGTTCCACACTGATCAATTAGTCTGGCAGCCAGGGAAAATCCCAGAAGAAACTTTTGGTGCTTTATTTTTATTGCACTGAAAGGAAGATAAGATGTTACTCTTTAACCCACATCCAAAAGATAAATAATACATGTTTACCAGGCTCAGAACCACCTACTACAATATCCCGCCCCACGCTGAACAGTCAAGCACCCTTTTGAAATGTTCAGCATAAAACAAGAAGTGTGGCTGTGCTCCATAATTCACAACTTTACATCCAGATGCACAGAGACCAGTGGCACCAGAGCATCACTGTAGAGATCAGTCTCATTCGGTAGAGAACAAATCTTAGGGAAGGCATTCAAAGAGGTTGTGAGCCAGTGCATCCTCTCTCCTAAGTGTGTATCATTTTGCTGACCTCTTTAAAATACACAATTTTGGTATAGAAAAAAAAAAACAGCAACAACACAATAGCCTCCAAAGGGAAATCTGCATAATTTATGTTGTATCTGTTGTTTTTGTCACTGACGTCAGCTAAGAAATGAAGATCTTGCATTGTATAAAAATAATGGGGCTGAATTGCATGCTGAAATATTGTTCCTCTCCCCCTTTCCCTGACATATTTTTAGAACGTTAGACAATTGAATGAAGTATTGCACATGGCAGAGGAATAATGATGTACCACATGTGCGTTTCATCTCTTCAGGTCAGGCATCATTCTAGTGTGGACATAGGTTCTCCTATCTTCACCCAAGGGGAGGCTGGCACCGCAACTGTGGCAGGAAGAAAACCTGAAAAATCCCATTGTGACATCAGAACTTCATCTTGTGCTTTGCTCACAGCAAACTTTACTCCTGTATGTTTTGATGGCAATAGTGGTTCATGGTTCAGCCTCTCAATTCAAGCTATAATAATCTTCTGGAAAAAGAAGTTTAATATTGCTCTTGCCAAAAATTTAATTGCATCCATTGATGCATCTGAAACAAAATTGTTACCTAATGAATTTTTTCCTTAACAGTTGCTTTATCTTTCCTTCTTCACTAATTTCTCAAGGTTATAGGAGTACAGATCTTATTGCCTTCTATAACAGCATTTGGCTTTCAAATCACCAATTCTGTGGCTCTTCTTTTTGAGCATTGGAGCTCTTGATCTAGGAAGCGATGACACTCTTCTGGTTGGTTCCTCATTTTTTGGTTGAATACTAAATGTTTGAAATGGTTCACACAAACAAAGAGTGATACCCATACCCAAGATTCAATTTGACTGAAGAAAAGGTGACAGCCTACAGCTTCATAGCAGAGAGATCTGTAGGAAGATAGGTATGTTCTTTCTTGGGAAATTAAAACCAAGGAAGTGCAGTAGCCCCGATGGCAGCCGAGGACTGATAAGCAAAGCATTTGGGCATCTCCCAGATATAACAGTCAGCTTGCCTAAAGATAAAACTGCACTTGTTAAATCACATCTTTCTTTCTTAACAAATTGAGTACTGCTGCACAGTGTTGGTCTGCATGCTCTTGTGAATGTGTCTCTAAAATGCTGGTTGTAGCAAATATATTCTCCTTGGTACTATTACACTATATGTTCAGGTTTGACAGTATAATCTGATGTTCAACTTTTTGCAAGCTTAGCGGCCTGGTTTTCAAGAAAGCTTCCTCTTTTTGCCATTACTGATGAAGATAAGAAAACCAATGAATGTACAAAACTGAGATTTCTAAGGAATACAGATGGGTTCATAATGAAGTGAACGGTTAGCAGATGATGTACTTCATCATGAAGGCTTTGAAACCACTGTTACTTGTATATGGATGTTTGAATCATGTTGAGCATTCGAGCAGTGAGACTTACTTCAATCTTGCACTTTGTGAGGTCATACAAGAAATAGCTGAGAACCCGACCTTCCGTGAACCAGTGAACACTAAAGACACTGGTATGACATTTAAGTAGATGAAATATGTCTCTGCTGTAAGCAAGAATTTTCCATTTATCCAGCATATGCTGTCATAATTCTGAAGTGTCAAGGTCTGATCTGGATCATTCTCTGACTGATGACAGATGAGCAATTCCCTCAGCAGCATACAGTACATGGGCACTCTGCAGCTCGCTCTGGCAACACTGTTTGCCATTTACTTTAATGGAATAAAACCCAGGGAGAGCAGCTCTGTGTAAAACAATACAACGGCCAGACAACAAACCTTAAAATAACAATGTCATTTCCACCAAGAGTGGTGTCAGGCCACTGGCCTTTTAGAAATAATACCTTGGAGTGCTCCTGTAGATAGGAGGAAACTGCAGAATCATACATGTAGTCTGCCAGATTTATACATAACTTTATTACATTTCTGTTCGAAAAAATAAAACTGCTCTTACTAGCATTGGCCAGATCATGTAATGCAGTATGGGAACTGCTAAGTCATGAATTGAACCAATGATTGAGCACCTGGTGAAGGGTGCACAGGTGAAAGCAATTCACCTGTGTGACTGGAAGAGGTAGAACCAGGTTCTGCCCCTCTCCAAGCCTCATTTAAGGGCTGGCAGCCACAAAGGAAGGGTTTGTATCTGGAGAGTCTTTCTGGTGGAGTATTTGGCAAGCCCTGATCCTTAGGACAAGTAAGTAAATCTGCAATTCTTTAACTGGATTGTGACCATCACCATTTTTCTGGGTATTTACTAACCGGTTATCTGCCACTGCCTTTCCCTAAAAGCACTTAAAGAGCTCTAAGCTTTTCAACCTTTAGCAGGACAACAACTCCAGTTCCCAATGATAACTGTGTTTGGTTTTCAGCATTATGCTGATGTGTTGCTATTTATTTATTTATTTTTTATATTATAATAAGTTCTGGGTTCAGAACAATGTCATTAAGGTTCACTTGTCCCTGCTCACCTCCTTCTCTGATGAGATCAGAATGTGCACAGGCAATGTGCTTGCTGTTCCTACCCACAAATCAATATTTGTTGCAGAAGAGAAGGGAAGGAAAGGAGGGACGGAAGATGAAATAAGGTACTAAAACAGAAGACAAAAAATAATAATAATAAAAAAAATTCTTCTAATGTAATTCTCCTTTCCCATCCCTATTCTTTCAGGTGCTGTCTAGCAAGAACAAGGGAATAACCACTGATGTCTCAGCTCTGCTGCTATAAGATCTTCAGCAAACTAAATATTGCTATTTGCTATTCAGCTCACCCATGCAATCAGTAGCTTTGCTTTTCTACAATTCATGAGCATAGACTTGCAGGAATCTCAAACAGTGTTTCAGACCTACGCTATAATCAGCAGAGGAAACATATTTATTATTGCTTTTATAATTGCTTTAATTCCTTTATAGTTAGATCTCAATTTTAATTATGAATAATTGCTCTGACAGGGTCAGTAATGACTCCTGATTTCCAAAAATCAGTGGTTCAGGTTGAAGGAAGGAACTCACCTCTTTGTCCTTGGAAAGACACTACATCAAACTACATTTGCTGGTCCAGATTCTGAGTTAAACACTGTACTCAGTAGATCTACATCAGTATACTGGAGCTGAAGCTGTAATCACAAGACATTCTTAAATGAAGCCCTAAGGCTTCAGGTCGGCCACTTGTTCTATCAATCAGGAGAGATTATCTTGTGTGTAGGACGTGGCCTGCATCTGGTTAACAGAGGCACTGATGCTGACAATAATGACCCTAACTATAATAATTTCCACTTTAGTAATTTCAACAGTAGTGTTTAAAATGAGGATAAAGCTTTATTTATCACAAATGGATGCCCCACTGTTTATGAGCACTGATTATGCAAATGAATTTTCTCGGAATTGAAGTTGTAATGCCTTCTGAACTATCTAGTTATTCCATCGTAGCCCCTTTTCCTTCAGTCTCAGTGGAAATGAATGGGATTAATCCAACAAATATAAGACCAATAGATGATTTTTCCAGCCTTGAAATCTTACTGCTCTTCTATACAAATACTGCATAACTGTAGCAAAGGCACTGGAACATTTGTGGATGTTGTCTATCTTAAGTTTTTGTTAAAATTTTGCCATGCTACTTAAGCTTGCATACTATTTTAAACATATTAACCCAAAACAGTTTATTTTCTTATAAGCACCCAAAATAGATATGTATGTTCTCTGCTTAGTAGAGAGCTCATTCAACTTATTATAAGATCAATCCACAAAGTTAGGGTTTTTATATACTAATTTTCTATTCATCCCATTTTTATGTATTTTACTACATTTTTTTAAAATACTAATTAACTTCTTAGACTTCATATGTTTCCTTCTGTATTCAGAGCAGTAGAAATCCCCAGTCTTGCTTCCTGTAATCTGGATTTATTTAAATCGTTGGTTGCTATTTTGCATTTCTCAATCCAATTGTTCCAGTGACTGTCACACTCCTTTTATCTTCTGCTATCATTCTGGAATTGGCTTTATCGTCAGCATTATCAGTGCCAGTAATGATTACATCTCTTCTTCAAACAGTACTGCTGATACAAGACATTCCAGTACAACAGAAACAGCTGTAAACTGGTTCTGAATATCTTCTTTCATTCTCTGGTTCCTTGAGGGTACTGTTCTCGCCTCTGTTTTGTACTTTAACCAATTGCTATCTATTTATACATCTTATTTGCATGTTAGATAAACCTAGCAGGGAAGAGGTGTACTATTTTGCCTTATACATTCATTGCCAATAGCAGATAACTTTTCTTTATTAACACTCTCAACTGATATTTTACCCAGTAATGTTCTGAAATGCAGATGTCACAATAAGTATCCATGTTACCTGAGGATCAGCACAGCTGAGCCACTGAAATGTCATTTCACTGCTTCAGCCTTTGTACTGTCTTTTTTTTTTTCTCCCCTCATATCTGGGTCTAATTCATTCTTCCTGAATTCTTCCTTACTAAACATCACAGTCTCAAATACAGACATGCAATAGAATGCAGGTAGAGAAGCATGCCATTACCTTAGTTCCTTATTTGCAGTTCCTTGACAGAACCTTACATTTAAGAACACTGTTCTCCATTTGCACCTTTGGCACCTTTTAGATATTGTGTGGGCTCTGTGATCTCAGCTATTTACATTGTTTCAGCACCTATATGTTTGATTTTTAACACTGAGCTTTAGAAAGAGCTCTGAAAGCAAAGTACTTTCATTGAGAATGGGAGGGAGGGGGAAGGCCCTAATAAAGAATCTTAAAGTAAGAAACAATTCATTAGCATGCTTCCAGCATTAAGTGGTAACTAGTATTCTGCATGAGGCAATTAACTTGTCTAAAATATTTCACCCCGTACACAAGATCTCCTTCTTGGCCTTTCTGTTGTCTGCCATGTTGGCATGCAGTTTAGTGCATCTTCCAGACTTTGTGCCTTCCAGCACCAAGCTGCATGGCTTCCTGCCCCCATCTCCTCTGAGGCTTCTTGCTAGCCTCATGTTTTCAAATTAAGAAAGGCTATCTTAATTACTTTTTCTACTTAATTTTACAAGGTATCCTTAAAAAAAAAAAAAAAAAAAATCCCTCATGTTAGCTGTTAGTATGTCAATGCTGCGCCCATATAAGTATACTCTTTTATAAAAGTGTACACGCTTCCACTGCACTTGTGATTACTGCAGCACAGTTCCCACCTTCGCGTGTTAGCAGGGAGATCTGAACTACTGGTATTTGTTTTCCTTTTCTGGCAGATAAACAAACAAACCACACATTAATTTTAATGAGAACCTCAAGGTTTTCCTGTGAAAGAACTCTCAAGAATATTTAATAGCTGGGATAAACACTCAAAGTAAGAAATGGAAAGTATTCAAAATTTCTGAACATTGTCCCTGTGGAGATTACACTGATTATTAAAAAACATGATATATAGAAAAGAGAGGAAATGGGCAGAAGCAGCTATCTGTTTTGGGGAGCTCAGCCTTCCTGCTGCCCAACCACCCACTGGCCGTGTTGAGGCAGGATGTTCACTGAAGGGATTGTGGATAACCATTGGTTGTAGAAGATTTTGTTGTTTGATTTTTTTTTTTTTCCTTTTTTTTCTTTTTAATGGGATCTGTAAGCTTAAAAACAGCTTGGTCCCTACAGAACATAATAGAGCACCTTCTTTGGTGTAATCGATTATTGCTGCCAACTCCATCAAAGTTTCTGGCATTTATACAATGGCTACACTAAAAAAATCTAATGCTTAGGTCAATGCATTAAACAAATGTTTGACAAACCTCAGAGATTAGCACGATCTTTGAGGCAGCTGATGATGCAGGAAAGCCCTCGCTTTGTGACTGTGACTTCTTCATCCCAGAACATCACACCTTCTGCACTGGCTGTGATGAACCACCTGAGAGGCTCAAAAGGATCAAGACATTGTACTGAAGACACAATCAATGCAATTAAATGTTAGCAAAGTTGACACCAAGCATGAGTTAGGATGAAGATAACCTGTTCTTTTCACTGCCTTAAATCCTAAGTTGGTAATGTTAAGTTAACCAATGGGCACAGAAGGCAACCACATCCACGATATGCTGGGTGAGGCGTGTTGAAATGAAAGCATTTTCAGTGAACAAGTTCTTACCATGTCTTTTTTTTTCTTTTTTTTTTTAAGGGTAAATGGCTTTAACGGAAGGAGAAGAAGCCAAAGTTAAAATATTCAGTTCATTGGGAATTTCAGAAAGAGCCCATCACTCTGCATCTCTACTTCTCCAGGTCAGTTTTCACTTTTGAGATAGTTTATTCTGCATAGGAGATTAGGCAAAGTATCCTTAGAGGAGTCTTAAAAATTAAGAGCTTGAAAAAGTGTTTCATTTTATATGGTATGCAATGATGCAAAATTGGGGCAAAATGCCAAAGAATGAAATAGAAATGGCCAACAACAGTTTAATCTGTAGAGTCTTTTATCTCTGTTACCAGCTGAACCATCTGTTCTCCAGTTGTTTGGGTCTTTTAAGCATAAAAACTAAAATATGTATGTATGTACTGTATTTTAAAGCTAAGACAATCTATTGGGCAAAGAAACTTCTTTCCATATTTAAAAATAATATTTGGTGTTTAAGAGGGCAACCAAAAGAAGCCTGCATTACAAACTGAAGCTGAAGGTAATAGACTCATAATAATAGACTATGACTGAATACAGCTTCAGAGAAAGCTTAATTTTAATTCGTCCCTAAATATATTTCAGAAGGAATGTGTTATTTATTGTGGTTCATACATCCTGCTCCATGGCTCCTGGCTGGGTCCCTGCAGACTCTGTCCCTCACTGTGCACATACTCCTCCTTTGGAGCAGAGAAATAGGGCAGTGATTGTAGCATTCCTCTTGCATTTTTAGGCTTTGTTTTTTGCTCTTCCCCACCATAAACCTCCTAGGAGATCTTCAGAAAGTTGTTTACTCCTTCTGTGTCTTGGCATCCACAGGCAGAGCAAGATAAATGCGATGTTGTGAAAATAAAACCATGGAGGGCTGCGAGCACTTGGCCACAGTGTAGATGACAACAATAAAAGTTTCTTCAGTAGAGAGGTAGGTCATCCTTTGGGACTACGCAGATAAGTAAAATGTGGCCTTATTCTGCTTTGTGAACATTCGCTCTCAAAATAATCCTTTTACTGGATCAATAGAACCACTTTCCAGGCCAAGGCACTGTTCAGCCACATGTCCCACCCAGCCATTAGTCATTGTGGTGTCAGGGCAATGCAGACACAGAACCCCTCGTTCCAGAACTAGGAATGTGTTTCACCTGAACACAAATAACTACACAGATCAGACTATGCAGTTGTTCCCTGAGCTTTCTACAGATTTACTCATAGTAAGTTCTCATGGGGGTTTAGAGTGTGCACCATGGATCGGCTACCATACGCTGCAGCAGATGGAAAGCAAATATATTTTCAAAAATTACTTTGTACGCTTCTGTCACTTGTAGGTTTCTTGACAGGACAAGGGGGAATGGTTTAAAACTGGGAGAGAGGAGGTTTAGGTTAGATATCAGGAGGAAGTTTTTCACACAAAGGGTGGTGATGTATTGGAACAGGTTGTCCAAGGAGGTTGTGGATGCCCCATCCCTTGAGCAAGAAGAGACATTCAATAGAAATATTAAAATTCAGAAGATCATCAAGACATGAGTCTAGTTCTATTCAGCACATCTGATACCATTTTAAAATCATGTAAAGTGGGCTACAGCAAGTATTAGCTTTTAAGAAATGGGCTCAGTGACCCAAATCCAAGAGATTCTGCAACACACAATGTATCTAATTTAATTTCTTGAGCGAACATTTAACATAGATTATAGTTTTAATTGTTTATTCAAACTTCTGGCTATGTACTCTACTATCTCAAGCATGACATAAATAGGAAATCTGTGTTTGTTTATTTCTGCTGGATGACTGAAGTCAAAGGCACATCCTTAAGCTACAGGAAAAATGGATTTCTGGGGGGAGCAAAATCATAAAAGAATAAAGGATGAAATCCAAGTAGGACAACTCTCTACCCTTCATCTTTTATGCCAGCTTCCATCATTCCTTATTTTCCTATATTTTCTAACAAAAAAAAAAAAAAAAATACTGCTGCTCATTCTTAACCATGTAAACACTGCTGAGTTTTGTATCAATCCCAGAAGCTACATGTTTGCCAATCTACAATGCTTTTCATTCCTTTTTTTCCTCTTTTCAGCAATATATGACCTTGGTCACATACGACATGGTGAGAGGACGACTGAACTTCATATGGTACATTTCTGACCTTTCTTCATTGAGAAGCAAGAAGTATTTTCCACTGTGACACAGCAGTTTTCCAAGAGAACTTTGACATTTTTGAAGTCAAGCTGGTAAGACAGATAAAGCACACTCAATGATATATTATTCCATTTTGTCCATTGCATATTCAGTAAATTTGAAGAAGAAAGTCAGTCTCCAATTCCTAAAAATAATATTCCTCGAGATTTCATTTAATTCAAATAATATACATTAACAATGCATACTTTGCTTTTCTTGTGGGGTGATGCTCCATAACTTGTTCATTCTTTGCTCTTTTAATATGTTGTAGACAGCTGCTATGCATACACTAGTTCCAGTGCCTTAAAATTACTTCAAAGGAAATGCTGTAGCCTTTCATTTCCCTTTAATGGTAATATTAACAACACACGCTTAATAATTTATTTTTTTATTTTAGTCTGTTGGTGGATGAGAAGTTTTCACAGTGGCTGAACAGTTTTCACAGAGTATTACCAACCTGCACTAATGATGTTTGCTTTCTCTTTCTAGTTAGTTGATGGGCAGGTTTCTTATGAAATATTGTGCTTTGATAATAACTAGTTTTGCTTTGCGGTGACTCAAAACCAAGAGGCACTCAGAGTGCATTGTAAATATTCACTAAAAATAGTATCTAACAATCCCGAAAATAGTGATTAAAGGAGCACTAGAAGTGTACACGTACTGAGCACTTCTTTCAAGGCTTCTTAGTACTGTCTGAATATACTCTGGAAATTCCTACCAGGAATTGGTGGGAATTGCTACCTCCACCTATTGGTAGGAATTGAATTTAAAATCCTTTTACACTGATAAGAGAGAAAAGGGATAATCAGCAATAATCACTACATCACTCTTAGTTGTTACCATCTTAAGACGATTGAAAGATATAAATAGAGACCAACAGATCCTGGAGACCTGAAAAGGGAATTCCCAAGGGGGAATTCACATTCAACCCAAGGGCACTCTGAGCATTAAAATTCCTTCCTTGCAATTCCATGATAACCCATTTCCATCCTTCCTCCCCGCCGTCTCCTTTCTAGTTTATGAGAAACCTCGTTAGAAGCATTTCCTCTACTTAATGGCTTCCTGGCTATTTTTTTCCAGCAATATAGGGCAGCATATTATTACAAAAGCACGTGATAGATTTAGGTATCGATTCTCTTTAAAGTAGGTTTATCTGATGGAAGACAGATTTTCATTGCCCAGTCACCTCAGGGTCAGGAGCTCTTTTTAGTACATTAACAATTTTAGGTTTGAAAGTGTCCACCTAAAGAAGATATCAATATATCATCTCATATTGATAAAGTACAGTAAGCTTAAATGCTGCTTAATTGCTTAAGGTTTACAGTTTCTGGAAATGTTCAAAATGCATAAATGTGTAGTCATTCCAGAGGGAAAATGCAAGAATAAAAAAGAAACAGAAGGAAATAGTTTTATCTGCCTCTGCATTTTAACTGGAATTTATTTTTAGTTAATGATAGCAGACTCAAACAAAAAAAAAAAAAAGAAAGAAAAAGAAAAAAAAAAAAAATCTAAGCACTGAGCAATACCAGAAGTGTCATTTGAGTTAAACACACTTTCACTATCATTAATCATGGCAAAAGTGACAGAAGAAAAATGAGCTGGCTTGGTATATCTAATATATTAATTCTCCCTGCAGATTGGCTCAATGCATGAGCAAGTAAAAACAGGTAAACCTTCAGAAAAAAAGAGAAGGGATGTCAGTAGAAGGTTTTCTGTTACTATGAAATACTGTAATATTTTGATTTCTTCTCAAGGAAAGCTACAAAAGCAAAAAAAAAATCCATAGGCTCTTTCTTTCACTATGGTTGAATAGCTATCGTGAAAAAAACGTTATGCCATAGCAGCTTAACCCCATTTGCACAGAGCCTATGCATAAACAGTTTTTTTTCCCCTCAGTTCTTATGATGCTGGTAATGGATTTTTTCCTTTTAGTTTGCCAGAGACCTTGATGTCTTTCCCCCAAAGCCATCCTCAAATTGAGATTTTTCCCCAAAATTATTTCTTTTCTGCTTTTTAGTTACAAATCTAATTTGTTGTTTGGTATGTTTCCCAGCAAAATTATGGCCAAGACGCTCCTTGACTAATGGTGAAACACCCGCAAGATAAGTGGAGGAAAGGATAGGTAAAAGAAACTGTCTTTAGTTCAAGCAAAGTACTAAGGTGATAATTTCAGAGCTGAGCTTACTCTTCATTTTATTTCCTGATATGTTCCAACAGTCATACTGCACATATGGACCTTTCCTAAAAATACCCAACGGAGACCTACTTACAAAACTGGTGACTTAGTTGATATTATGGAGAAACAGTTCTGTGAAACTAGAGGAATCCGAAAATAGTGAGTTAGGATCTTTACCATCAACTTCAAAGTTGACCCAAAGGCACGAGGAAGGAAAGGAAAACAAAAAAAGTTAACACAGTCTAAGGATTACCTCCTTTCTGCTGGAAACAGAAAGCTCTTTCTCATTTGATCAAAGCTGCTATATATGGTTCTTTTACTGTAACAGACTACGGAACGATGAGCTCCTTGCTGAGCAGGGAGATGGATAACTTTGTACAGCTCTCAGACTGTTCTGTCCCAAGTTATTCGTGCAATCCATTTGCAGCTTGGTTCTTCCTTTCCTTACCTGCACATTACAGACAGCATTTTACTGATGCTAAAGAGCTAAAAATGGGTGACAAAAACAGGCCAGTAATATATTATAAATTCACAAAAAATAATAGACACACAATAGAATTTGCAAAACCATGCAAAACTTAGAGAACAGAGCAGAATTATCAGACTTGTGTCCTGTGTTGTATTCATGCTGTCATCTTTTGGCATTATAAAATATGAAGCAATTTGCTGATTTATTTGGGATATCATCTGCTTGCTACTTAGGCGTGACATTGTGAACAGCTGCACTGAACATGAGAAAGGTAGAACCACAAATGAACCGCAGCAGGTAAACTTCATCCAGGCAGCACAACACCAGCAGCAATAGGAAGTTACCAAGCAAAATACTTAGCAAACAATGTAAGACATAATTTTTAGTTACCAAGAAAGTAAAATTAAGTCACACTGAAATTACAAACAAAAAGTAACAATAAAAGGGCATTAAGAACGAGAAAAGATGCACTGTGGACTCCATACGATTCCAGTAACACATTTCGTTTTACAACCCAAAGCATTAAAAAAGACAGCACTGCTAAGGCTGATTTACAGCGAGCCTACGGTCCATCTGCTTTGGAGAGCCAAGACACTAAATATAATTTTAAAATTAAATAGGAAGATAAACACTGATCAGGGACGTCGTTTTCTCTTTTAACCTGATGAAGATTTCTTCTCGTCCTGTATTTCTGCTAAACGATAAATTAAATCGGAAAAAAAAAAAAAAAAGAAGACAAGAGTTGCATAACAGCTGAAAGGCGTTACAAGCTACCAACAGTTTTTGAGAAGAATGCTTCAGCTTCTCTAAAATTGGTTTCATTATTATTGGGAAAACTCTACAGTGGTTCCTCAGGTGAGCATGGAACATGGCTCGTTATGTCAGCAGCTGCACTGCAGTTAATTTAAAAGACCTGCACTGCTGCGTAATTACAATGTCCTGAGGGATAGCCTGAGAGCTAATTACAAATACATCTCCCTGAATCATAATTTTGTTCCTGTTTGCTTGCAACTGGGGGAGAACATTAATAACTCTGGAGTCAGGATTTGTTTCTATAATTCATTTTAGTCTGAAAATGCTGATGTTATCAAGCCAAAATTTCTGTCAATACAAACAGTCCTAACACATTTTTTTAGATTATTTCTGGAAAACAATTTTTCATTTTGGGAATCACACTAATTATTGCAACTGTGAAACTGTCAAAAGTGAATGGCAGTGGTCTTGACCATTGCCATTGGAAGCAATACATTCATGTGTCTTAAGAAGTTTTTATTTATTTTTCATTCTCATCTCTTTTCCTGAAAGACTTCAGACTTTCATTTTGACTTATGGAATTGTTGATTGTACAGATTTCATACTGAATTCTCAGTTCTGGAGAAGATAATTCCAGGAAATTCAAGGGAATTGTAACTTAGCAGATGAAATAAGGATGCTTACATAAAGCACATTCTTATTGCAATGGGCTGGAGTAGGTTCTCAGGCCGTAGAGATCAATTAGGAAGGTGAAAGTCTACCTGAAACATCCTGTGTAGGTTGCCAAACTCAATGTTTGTGCAGAGATACAGTACACAAGTCAGAAAATTAGCAAAGTGAATCTGTTTATACCATGCCCAAATTGATACTCAGGTGATGCAGCTCCACGTTTTTTTTTTGCAAATATTCCTAAAAGGTGTCAGCCAGATTTTCTTTTCCCCATGTGATGCAAAGGACTATGTCAGATGCATAGCTCTGAACTGGCTCAAGACACAAGATCGTGAAATTTGCCGTGGTCAAACTGAGAGTAATTTTTTTTTTCCTTTCTCTTGAGATTATCCGGTGTAGAAAGCTCGTTTTCATGCTTTTCAAACTGAAGAGAGACCAAATAAGTCAACTCTATACCACCCTGCCCACATTATGGACTCTGAATATTCGGATACTGCTGAATGGGTCACGGAGAAGCCAGCTCCCAAGAGCATCTCTGTACTATAAGGTGTTCATACATCTTCATTCACAGTTATCAAACCACTGTGAAAACTTGGACTTCAAAAATCCGAAATAGAAATTAATTCCACCTTTTGGCACTTCACAAATCTTCTTCTTCTTCAGAAATCCATGTTTCTGCATTTATTTGCTAGCAACAACACAGCTTAAGAAAAAAGTGTCTTTGACAATAAAGAAACATTTGAAAAGACTTTTTCCTAAGACAAGCTTAGTCATGTACTAAGTTGTTTATTTGCTTGCATAACAGCAGAGGAACAATCATTTTATTGTCAGGCTCATTTAAATGGAGTTTCTTCAAAGAGCCAAGAATGGAAGGAAAGCACTTTGTTATAATAAGGTCATGATACTTGTTAAATGTTTTACACTGAAGGTTAAATTCTTATCCCTATAAAGAAAAAAAGTATTTTAGCTGTCCTTGAAAACTGGAGGAAAAAAAAAAAAGGTTTCAAAATGATAAAGTAAACAAATGTATTTATTTGTACCTTTTGACACCTGTAATTGTTCACCCATACTGCACATTCACATCCACGCAGAATGAGGTAATGACTGCTTAAATTAAGCTCCATTTATGCCTTTAAATTTGCTTCTAATAGATGTGTCTATAGGTATAGCAATTACCTGGATAAGTAACAAAGATATGCCACAGTTTAAAACTGTAATCATCAGCACCGGATTTTAATTAGAGAGAGGACAGAAGATGAGCGTATGTTGAGATTGTTTCTATACAGAAATCACTTAAATAGAACATCAAAAGGATTGCTAAGCAGTTTGATAGAGAATTCAAGCCTAAA